GGGCGGCCTTGGACATGGCCTCAAAGCTGCTCAGCACCTTATTTGTTGTGCAGCCAACTGACAGTTCAGGGTTTACTTTATTTAGATACCTGTACTGCATGCACATATCAGTATCACATCTACTCACACCTATATATAGAGGAGCATGAGCTATGACCAACTGTTCCAACAAAGCACCGACTTTGGAACCACAAAGTTGTTTTGCATCTGGTCCGGGGTCTTGCGCAACTTTTGCTGCTTCAACCGTAAGAAGATGTCATTCAGCTTCGCAGTACTGCACGCAGCCCGTGCTGCACCAGAACTCACTGCCGTGGAAACTTCCGAAAGTGCATCTTCCTTTGCAGCAGTCTGTTCGGCTGCCACTGAGGAGGATGAAGACACGGAGAGCTTGCGGTACTTAAGAACCAGGCTCCTCGGCTGCAAAAGCTTTCCGACAGGAGCATGCTGGGGGGTTTGGCATACACATGTATACGACAAGTATCTCAACACGAGAGCTCCCGGAAGTAGCCGATGTGGTAGCCATTGAGCACGGAGAGGTGACAGCCTTACTATGACTGTATGATCTTAATCTTCTACTTCAAACTAGAATTCACATCATGTACGACATGTGTGCTGGCTGGAAACTTCAGCCGAGTTCACATCGGCCTCGCATTCACCCAAAACCTCAAGGGCCTCGACCTCTCCCTCGGACCCCACATCCGTAGCATCGTCATCCACATCACTGTCTTCATCTCCAGACTCAGAATCCTGCACGATGAGAGCAATTAAATCTTAGAGCCACCGTTTGTAAGATGCATCATGTTGCAAATCCTGCTTGGGAAGGAAGTCGATCAACTCTTGCTTGAGCTCCATTAGGGCTTTGTTGCGGGAAGTTCGAGCACGTTGCGCCAGGCGCTTGAACTTGGTTGCCTGGGCTGCTGTGTGAGTGAAGCACATCTTCAGCCCTTGACAAAACGAGCCCCCAGTAAACGACAAAGATCCCAAAAACAGTCACATGAGGCCATAGGACTCTCAGTATTCAGAATTAATAGTGCAATCTAGCTTCCAATTTCCTGATGGCATTTCCTGCCTTCAATGCCCAGTCCTGAACACTGGGGGCATTGACACTGATGCCTCGTGGCACCAGCTTCTTGCGGTGGTACCAGCAACGAAGTGCATCTGCTATCAGATGTGCGCTGTAGCGCTTGCGGCCCTTGCGGCTTCCACGTAGCACAGCAGCGATCACCTCATCGGAAAAGGGAGGGTTTGCAATAGACCAGGGTGCTAGAATGTCGGTCTTACCAGGACTTCTGGATGTTAGATAACAGATAATCTTAAGAGGTAGTTCCAGGTATTGACTGCAGTTTTCAGAAATTAAGTGGGGTTTACAATTGTTTGGTGTGCAATTTATGGGATCTTGTACTGGGTAAAGCTTGCATAGCTTTTGTCGCATGATCCAGCCAGGCAGAAGACTCTACAGGTTCAGGTGCATGTGTGTGTGCACATGCCCACAAATGGTAGTTGTACAGCTCGTCACACCCGACCAGAATGTTGACATCGTCCACACAAGCCGGTTAGTATATAGGCCCATATATGCATCATTTCGATTGCAGGTTGACCCTAGAACTTTTCTTCAGGAGCCAATTACCAGGGGCTCTAATACAGTGACTATGAGATTGACTGAATAAATATATTTATATTTCACCAAGTGTATGAATATTTGGCTTATATCGAAAACCCAAAACTGAACCAAATTAGTAGTGTCGACCCCAATGCTTCTGGTTCGATCTTCCCAGAGGGACTTCTGTTAAGAAACTGCTTAAACACTGGATCAAACCGATTCAACGAGCCTTGCATTTCAGTTGAACCCAACCCTTCCTGCAACCAGCGAGCTAAGTTTCTTTTCATCCTGAGCCAAAGCACCCCATCAGCTGAAGCCCATCCCGATAGCACAAGGTTTCAGAGTTGCTTCCAACATAGCAGTACCACATACAGACCCAATGACTTTGACTATAATGGCCCAGCAACTTTAGCTCATGGTTTATTGAGGAGGCCCATCTTGTTTGTGATTAACTTTGGTTGCTTCTAGGCTAGCTTACTCAGGTCTTACTGCATGTATGGTATCAATGATTTTTGCATATCCACTATCTATATCTATTCCATCCATCTGTATCTATTAATTTGTCTGCCTGTGATTCTGACTGCCCTCAAGTATGCCCACAAAGGTATATATATATATATATATATATACTGTATATGGAGAGCTTATTTTACATCTACACCTACATACCTATATCTATACAAAGCCAACATGTTGCATACGTAGTTCTGCACAATAATTCCTTAACTGCGTCTATATCTATGAAGCTATCTAGCTGTTCGCCTGTGTATATATGCATATACATTTTTCATAAACCGAATAAATAAACCTAGGAAAATACAGCACTATAAAAATACATCTGGCTAACTTACGTGTGTATATATATATATATATATATGTATTTGTTATGTATATAGATATACATATTACATATAGAATGTGTTTTACTGTACATTAGTATACTCATATTGTATTTGTTATGGAAAACGCCTGTTGCTTAGGACTTGGTGCTTGAGATGTATGTTGGGCCTTGGGCCGAATTGCAACCATCTGAAATTCCTTATGTAAATCTCTCTCTCTCTCTCTCTCTCTCTCTCAATGACTCACCTAATCATTGTATCATAAAGTCTTTCTCCCATTCCTTTCCCAAGAAAGGCTTAGCTAGTGTCTCAAACCATTGTTCAGATGAATTATCCTTCCATCCCACCGATCCCAATCACTCTATCCCTCCATCCCGAATCCTGTATGGCTCTCTCCCCTATATGTCTCGATCAAAATGTCTCTCTCCCCCCTCTCTGTCTCTGTCCCTCTTCCCCCCCCTCCCGTGTAGATGCACTGACTCCTTCAACAAAGCTTGCAAGCAAGCTGCTCGCGGGTTCAGCTCCACGTCCTTGCGGTTTACCTGGCGCTTCTCCTTCATGAGCTGCCCTGTGCGATCCACCAGAAGGTTGAAGCCGACCTGGGCCAGCCCAGTCACACTACATTCCCCACAGTGCACACACATACAGACTTCTCAAAACTAAAATCACATGCACACACATGCACATGCACAGACAAACCATGCTCTCCTATACATATTCAAAAGTTTCACTGGGCATGCATAAAACAGCTTCCACATCTGCAACAAAGTGACATGCTGAAGCGGAGCTTCACTCTCGAAGGCCGAAGCGAGATTTTCGGCCTCTTCCGACACCACCGGGGCAGGATTCAGATCCTTGTCGCTCGAATCCTTCTTCTTCATGCTGCACATGGCACAATGCAAGCTCGAAAATGCTCGCCCAAAACTTAGCTCAGGCCCAAAGGATAGGCACGGCAGAATTGGTGTCAAACAGCGTGTCAGATACATATGGTGCACATGCAGATTCAAGGCTTAAGTGCCTCGATCAGAAAGTACTTATCATTGTATCACTCAGGCGATACTGCATAAGTAAGTGCACACACACACAGGAGAGTTCCTACATGCAAGTGCATGTTAAGTGGATGCACGAGAGGGCACACCTGATCTTGCAGACTTGAACACATTCTTGAGCTTGCTCTTGTAGCCAGCCTGCATCAAACAGATCGCGAATAATGATCACCCAGCTCTTGCAACTGAACTGTGAATGCATGTCACAGATTTGCATGATTTCGGAAGGCAAATCAAATGCCAAAACATAGACCCACTCACACACAAACACAGACACACCCACATGCACATACAACTGTCGCATCACATTGCACTTGCAGGCCTCAGGCATCGGGTATCACCCAAAGGCGAGCGCACATGGCTCACTTCATCTTATTTGGCACCTACTTTTTTAATTGCCAGGCTCCGGATCTGAGTTTTCGCACAAATGGTCACCGAATGACCTGGAAACATCGGGCAGAGTGTGGGCATAACTCTAAAATACTACTTACTAATATTATGTCTCACATTTCAATCACACCCACACACACTCTCTAGCTCATGTAACTCTATATCTTCTTTACACACTGCACTTATATAACAAGGCTTTTTTGAGCGACAACATTGTTGCATGCCTACCCTATATCGATCCATGCACATATCTATCCTGTAGCCCTATCTAAATATACTATACTATTGCACAACCGTATAAGTTTGCATGGCCGACATAACAATCCACATCCTGACTTTCATGCAAGCTTTCACACCAGCTCGACCAGCTTCAACACTGCAGACCGATGGCGCCATTTGCATGCAAGCCTACAGTTTAACACCTGATTTGCATAGACCGGAGGTCTGGATATCACAACCTGTACCGAATGATTTGAGCTTCAATCCCTTGAACAGAACACTATACACATCAACCTGCAATGCCTGTCTTGCTGAGTATTCTTGAAGCTGGGTCAGCCTAATTTCGGTCAGTCTAGTTCTATATAGGGGTAGCAGGCGCTTTGGAATCTCCAAGTCATACGAGCATCAGAAGTACAAAAAACAATAACCCATGATTGAACTCTTATTTGCATTATAAACATCACTTACGATTTCGTTTCACATACAAAACATACAGAAAGCCTTCATTTTCAGGGTCATTTGACATGATCCACATCTTTGCGGCCTTTTGAAATGGTGCATAGCCTTCTTCTTTCAAGGCTATTTAGTCTCCAAGGAATAGGGCCCCACAAAAGCACATAAGCAAAAATGAGGTTAGGGATATCCCCTTTCAACCCCCTTATGATGAAGCCCAATAAGGTAAGGATATCCCTATAAAATGCTTCTGCCTATGCGCTTTTTGGGTCCCTAATCAAATGCTAGCTGAGACAACCGCAAAACCCTAAACTAAGAAAGCACGAAATACGAAAGCACGATGTTTCAAAGCTGAAACCAAACCCACTCCCAAACCCTAAACCCTGAAGCCTCGAACCCCAGATCCCCACCCTAAAACCCTAAAGCCGACTTCGGAATTTCAGGTTTCCGCGCCGCGGGCTCGAAAGCGAGGGCCGAGAAGAGGGGTGTCATGCCATCTCCCTCCACGGACCTCAGCTTCGGGCATTTCGGGTTTAGGTGCTGCTTGAGGCCGTAGCTTGCATCTTCAGCATTTGTCTCAAGTCTTATCATAATGGGGTCTCGATCTTGAGAGTCTTGAGGTGCCCTAAGCACTAACTTTGGGAGTGGGGATAAGGGCTTTACTATATCTCAATACCTCCTACCCAAAGGCTGGTTGTTACGTGTACTGGCTTTTACCCTAGTGCTGCAGAACAGACTGCGTTATCTAAGATGCGGACTCTACCAGAATACTTCACATGAGGAGCTCGCGCATTCAATCTTACACCCAAAACCAAAACCACGGAAACCCGACGCAAATCCTACGGAATGATACAGAAGCTTGAACATTTAGCCTGGGTTGGGTTTGGTGGTTTCTATACTGTAAACGTTCAACTTATCGGGAACCCAGAACCCTAAACCCCAAAAAAAATGTGTTGCCAATTTCCAAGACCCCCAAGATAAAACCCTAGTCTTTGGACTAGGGTTTTCTTTCCCAGATCCTCTACAAATTAAGGAACACTAAGGAATAAGATTGGCAAGTTTCGCGGCCCTCTCCGGCAACCCCCTGAAATCCATTTCCGAAGGGGGAGAGCCTCAGTCTTCTTAGCCTGTCTTAAAAAGTGCTTTTGGGAATTTGTCGTCGTTCTCCTTCTCCAATAACCAGGCCCAAAACACTTCAATCTTTCGTAGACCAAACATAAAGGCCCAAAAGCTTAAAGATCTCCCACTGGCTAAGTAAGCGCTTGGGTGTGTGGACCATCTGCTTGGGTATTCGGATTCCTATAGTTGTCGGGTATCATGGGGAGCTAAAGGCTAACCTTTTTGGTTATATCGGGAATAAATAGGGTTATAGGGACTATACTATACTACCCAAAAAGGGTTGAAGCTTACCTACTCTACGACTAGGGATTAGTCTTAGCCCTGCTGGAGGCCCCAAGCCCTAAACCGCCTTGCCTTTTCTAGGCTTTTTTTTGACTGCGCCCGCTTCCAGGGTCTATGACCTATAGAGGGTTTAGGGCTTTAGGGGTTTAGGGTTCAGGGTTTAGGGTTTAAGGTCAATCGTTCAAGTTTGAGGATTGGTTTCATTGGACTGGGTGCTAAGTATTCGTGTGCCTGTCAGTCCTTACAATCATGGTGCCTGGAAGCCCAAACCCTCAAAACCCTAAGCAGCATTAGCCCAACAGAATGCTTAAACTTCGGTCATTAGAAACCACAAACCCTCAACCTTGAACCGGAATCATAACTGACTGCCCTATTCTACCAGTAACCCTTTTCGATCTCTCCTCTTTTAACCCGATAGTTAGCACCCCTAGGAACCCTACTTTAGAGTTTATAGATCCCTCACAGGAACTTCGGTCATCCCCCGCAGGGCGGCTCATCATCCGGTGCTGCACCGCAGAATGCGTAGGCTCCGCGCGTCATGTCCTTCAGGCTTGCATGGGTTTAAGGTTTAGGGCTTGGGGTTTAGGGCTTGGGGTTTGGGGTTTAGGGTTTGGGGTTTAGGGTTTAGTGCTGCTGAAAGTGCTCTACTACTACAGCCTAAACCTTGCGGGGTTTCGGGTGACAGTGCATGTGTACATACACAGCCAATTGAAACAGCCAAACAGCCAGATAAACATGCACAAACAAGCAAGCAAACAAATCAACCAACAGACGAACAACCAACCAGCCCAACAAACAAACAAACAAACAAACTAACTAACTAACTAACATCGCAGAAAACACACAAAACCGAGAAACGGCAAACAACCATCACACACTACACACGAAAAACGACATAGCTGCATGCATGTACCCGCTTTCATAGGCACAATACGCATATGTCCGACTCTCGTGTCCTGAAGCACCGCCATGATTTCTTTACCATGACTCCCTGTGTTCTTACATGGTCATGTACTGACCGGCCGGTTTACGTACATAGCTGAGCTACCTACATAAGTTGTATGTCTAGCTATATTCGAACAACTATGTAGACAGATAAACCACGTCTCTAGGGCGAATCTAGAGGGCTGGAAGCTTTTTTTGAGTGCTCGTGGCGAGTACGAAGCAGCCGCGTTCCACAATGGAGGAGAGCGCAACGCTAATGATCAGGTGCTTGCGCCCTTCATTGAAGTCTGGATCACACTTCGACTGTTCTCATGCTGTCTCGGGCGTGGCTTTTGCAACCTCAGGCTTGATGGTCAAGCTTGCAAGACTCCCTTCTGAAATTCTGAAGCTAGGGTCGCGACCCTAAGGCCCCACAGCAGCTCCTTCTTGGGACTACCTCATAAGGTTCTAAATATGAACCGCCAGAAGGAACTACTATGGGGCCTTAGGGAACGGTAATGGTAAAAACCTTCCGCCTTCGAGCTCGAGGGGACCCAAGTCCGCAACAACAAGGCAGCAACGCTATACTTCCTGTCCAAAAGGGTCCAAAGTACCTATATAGTAGAATGTAGTGTTTCTATTTTAGGAAATACTATTTTCATTTGGGGAAGTATTCCCTAGGACCCTTTGGGTGCTTAAGGGAGACTTATGAACTCGTTACGTAGTTGACACCGTCTACATGAACTAAGCCGTACTGCCAGCCTAAGCCCTAAACCCTCAACCACGGACTTGGTACATCCTAAACCCCCCAAATTTGGTCAACTTCCTCCTAAACAGCCTATAACCCTAAACCCTAAACCCTAAAGCCTATAACCCTAAACCCTAGCAGTGTCCGAAGCAAGTCCAGCTTTCGTCCCAGAGGATCCGACCTTGGAGAAGGAAGGCTTTATGGGTTAAGGGTTTAAGGTGGAGATATACCTCGGGAACTGCCCCCACCCCGTAACCAGATACAAATATATATATATATATATATATATAATATGATAATATATATATATATATATATATATATATAGATATAATATATATATGTGTATATATTTTTTATTGTATTATATATATATATGAGATATATATATATATATATATATATATATATATATATATTCGGGGTCTCATTGAGGAAAACACGCTGGCTGCCCTTTCGGAACTAGTTGGCGAACATGACGCAAAGCATCATCTGTAGATCCCACAGACATTTGGTCAAACTGCTCAGGCCATCGTGCCATGTAGGATTTAGGGATTTGGAGTTTGGAGATTAAACGGGGTGGGGGTTTAGGGCTTAGGGTTTGGCGTTTCGAGGTTTAGGGTTTAGGGTAATAGACCCTCATATCTCAAAAACCATCTAAACTTTTGCAGACCCGATCGTAGACCCCTGATTCAGAAACACCTCTTTGTTGAAGGGCCCTAATACTGGTTCAGGGTTCAGGGCTTTGGGTCTGGGGTCTCTACCACGACTCTTCTAAAAGGAAGGAGGGGTTATATCGATCGTGGGTCTCTACGCTACCATTCGCCTACTTTGTACTTCCCGCCCGGATACAAAGCATCACACGCTCTTCTGTCATGCAAAAAGAAGCCACAATAAAGATACTACAGGTAGACACATAGAATTAGTATAACTAACCGTAACCCTTGTTATAGCAACCCTGATCGAACCCGCACCTGCAGATCTCAAGCCCTAACTCAAGAGTTCTGCAGTCTTCGGCAGTCTTGTTTTTTCTGCTGCTTAGGCTTTGGGGTTAGGGAGTTTGTATCAAGTCCCCTTTGTGGCGCCTATATATTCAGGTTTCTTCTGCATTTCGGGTCCTTTCTTTTCTGAAGCTAAGCCTCAACACCTACACCTGAGATCCTACCAAACCCTCAACCTCACCCGCTAAACCCATCTTAACCCAACACCTTACACCGTAAACACCAAACCTTACCCTAAGGCTCAAAATCCCCCAAAAGCCTTGTATAGTATGGGCTTTGAGCCCAAAAGCCTCAACACATGAGTCCTTGGGGCCTATGGGTTAAACCCTCAACCACCACAGGGTCCGACGCAAAGGAAGCGGACATTCTCGGGCAGGCTGCGCTCAGCGCGGCCTCGGCACGGGTGCTTCTTGCCTAGATTCCTGGGTGAATGCAAAATAATGAAAATTGAGGGTTCAGGGGTTTAGGGTTTTTCCTGTTAATTATTCAGTTCTAAAAAGGGATGCATACAAGAAAAAGGGCAAAAGCTAGTTACAGTTTAGGCAAAGCGCTTTGGGGAAAAGGCTCCTGCAAGGGTGCTCTAAGGCATCTACAAGGCTCCAGAAGGATACTTTCTAAGGGTTTAGGGTTTAGGGCGTTCTAGACTTGTTCAAGCATCTGGGTCGATGCATGGCTGATCAAGCTGTAGGACCCTAAACTATGGGAGTTATGGTATATTCCTTTTTATGGGTGATGCAGGATTTATATCATCAGCCGTCTTGATGTCTGTCCGGCTGCTTTCCAGATAGGTCAAAGCTTTGTAGACCGTGTTGTTGGCGATGAAGTGCGGCGACCCCAGGCAAACGACCTGAGCTGGCGTCTGGGGTGTACGGGCCTAGGGTTAAGGGTGCACCTACGCAGGGTTTAGGGGTTTATTGGCTTCAGGTTTAGGAGAAGGCTCGGGCTTAGGAGTGTGTAGATATAGATACAATAGATGTAGACATATGCATAGAGAGTTTAGATTGTAAAGCCCTGTTGCAAGACTCACCAGTAACTCCTCGGTCTGGGCTGTGGCCGATTCGGGCACCATCATAATACAAATGGAACATTTTTCCTTTTAGCTCTGAAGAGGGCATGGGGGAATGGGTTACATGAATGGACTACGAAACGTGTCTCGAGGGACTTGGTAGGTAGAAATGTTAAGAGCTTCCTCACACCTCCGTCAAACCCTAAACCCTCATACAGTCTCCAAGCTGGATCAAGAAAGCCACAAAGTCATTCAAAAAGAGGGCCCTGAAACCCTATGTAAACCTTGAATGCCATTCGGAGAATCTGGCCCAGCATTTGTCGAATCTTCCTGCTGGGTTGTAGTTTTGCGGCCCTTTAAAGTATTTCTGAAAAGGTACTCCTAGAGGAACCACAATTGAAGTCCCACAAGAACCACCGAGCCTTTCATCTAGGGCCAACGCTGACAATAAAATCAGAGAGGTTTGCACTTGATCCTGGGTGGTCGGCACTAAATCCTGAGCCGCACATAAAATCAATTTAGCTAGCCGCAAGCCCTACCCCGCGACTATAAACCATGCAAAACCATGAAAACACCGTAAGCCAGCACCCTAGACCCTAAACCCAAAGCCCTAAACCCTAAACCCCAAACCCCTAAACCCTGAACCCCTAAACCTTAAACAAAACGACGGGCGTCTGAGTGGACTTTCTCGGCTCCGTCGAAAGCTCGACCACCGTAGGGCACATTTGAAAGGTACCTGAAGTCAGTTTAGGGTTTAGGGTCTAGGGTTCAGGGCCCCCAACTAACCTCTAATATGCCCTAAATTTACACACTATTGAGGACCATAAGTGCTCCATTAAAGCCCTAAACCCTAAACCCTAAACCCCAAACCCTCAACCCTCAACCCTAAACCCTCAACCCTAAACCCTAAACCCTAAACCATAAACCCTAAACCCTAAACCGTGGGGGGGGTCCTGGGTCAGTTGAGAGCTTCGGGTTTCGGGTGCCTTTGAAGACAACCTTGGTGGAGGTTATATGGGAGTTTCCGATAGGGGGAGCCTGGGGTTCCTTTAAAGGGTTCCTGAAAAGGGATCTATAAGGCTGTATAATTCTATAAAGGGTTTGGGGTTTAGGGGGTTTCCGAAAAGAGGGGACCCTAACATAGTACCCTCACTAGTTATAAGGACCCTAAAAATAAGGTCACCCTAATTTTCGGAAATTCCATGTGTTGCTCATGGGCTTTCAGAGGGCGCCCTGAAGCCAGACCCTTAAAAGAGTACCTTAAGATCCCAATACCCCTTAATTAATCAATATACCTTAAGTTATAATAGAAAGCCCCCTAGAGTTTAAGGCATATTCCTTAATTGGGTATTGGGATCTCCGGGTAACAAAGCTGTATCGACTCCTGCTGAATACTTCGACGGCTGTGTATCCTGACGTCAGATCTCTGCCAGTATCCGCAAAACATAGGGTGTATAGGTTCTCTCCAGTAGTTATAATTTATAGCGTGTGCCGGCGTCGCTGACGTCGAAGTGATTCTCGATCTGATCCTGGTAGTACGTCTTGAACCAAACGGCATCGTCATGCATAAGGCGTACATTTCGGGAACCGGGCTTCGTTGTCGCAACAACCTTCGACGGCAGCATACGTTTCGGCTTTGCAGCATTGTCTGCCTGCGACAAGCAGCCCTCACCTGTCTTGCACCTGTCTGGAAAGTCATGATGCACATTATTCCTTCGCATACCCTTGAGCCCTCAACCCTACTCCTACAAAGCTCAAGTTTGACCCGAAAATCTTTGGAAGTTATGAGTGGGATAAAGCCCAATGAACCCTAGACCGACCCCAACAGCCATACAGTCAAAGGCGTAAACAGGACAGCTTCTCGGCTCCTTCCCCGCGAGCACTACTGATTTCTCGAAGACCTACGTAGTTATCAGTAAGGTGATTGGGCTGGGGCGCATAGGTCAGCACTGCAAGCTTCGATGCTTCTATTGTAACCGCCTTGCTTTGCTTGTGAACCTGTTCATAAATGCCCGTGAAGCTCCAAGGCTATGTGGCTCAGTCCTTTTGCCTCTCGAATCTTTTGCCTGTCAAGATATCACCTACCGTAGGGGCTGACGAACGAAAACCCCTGACAGATGCTGTTACTGGGTGCAGCTTGGAGGTGGCAGATTACCAGTAAAGAGTCCACACTTCAGTTCATCCAGAAACCTACAGGAAGTACACCCCAAGCGAACATGGACAGATGCGTCGCTGCTTGCATCACAGGAGCAGGCGGGAGATCCACCCCGCGGCAGAGTGTGCGACCTTCGATGCCGAACCAGTGGAGGGCTCTGGATGTAACTGAGCTTAGCGGCTTGCAGCAATGCAATTCCACATGCTCCCTTAAGTCTACACCCTACACACCATTAGCAACCGCCATGCGCAGGGACGCTACTCTTGACTGAAGGCTGGTGACCTTGGCAGCCCCGGCAAAACAAGGAGCACCGGGAGCAGTAGTGCTGCAGTGCTGGTGATAGTGGTGGCGGTGGAACAGCAGCAGCGTTTCAATTGAATGCTAGATGCCTACTCCAGATAATTTCTCCAGATCGAACAAGCCCCAAAACCCTAATCCCAATGTGAACATACAGCCGACAGATAACTTTGCAAACGATCCTACAAAAAGAAAACAACCTGTACAACCCATGGAAAGCCCAACCCAAAAATCATCTTTAACACCCCTCCCAATCGATTGAACTTTGTACAGCCCTACTAACAACTAAAGCAAGAGATACAAATAACCCTTAACCCTAAACCAAGCACATGTGGAAGCCCGTTCATCCCACGTCGCCAAGGCTAAGCGCTGACCGTCGGTTGCTGGCCACCTGGGCAGAAGAAAACCCATGGGGTGTTTATGCAATGCAAACAAACCTCGAAAAGCCGACATAAATCTATGCAGCCCGACACCATAAACCCCTAAGCCCTGAACTACGCAATTTTACTGTATAACCCAAATGAGCTCCTACAAACACCCGATCACGGCTTGCGCAACCCATTACCAAAGCATGAACAAGCTCTGTCAAGTGGAACAAAGAAGCAACGTAGCGGGATCCCAAAAATCGCTCGGGCGCGAGCCGTTAGAGTCTTATGCAGTGTTATTATAAGAAGTGGTTATAGGCTGTATGGCTGCGGGGGTTCTAGGGACTGGCGGACCAGCGTTTCAGGTTCATGGAGGGCCAAGCTAGCCTTGAAACATATGGGACCAAACACTAAATGCCCTAAACCCTAAGCCCCGAATTAACCCCAACCCCTAAACCCCAAAGAAAAAACTTGGAGCTGTGGAAGCCCGGTAGCTGTGAACGCGAAGTGCTCACGAAGTCCGCACCACAGGGCTCCTTTGGTGCTCGGGCTTAAGGCCTACTTGGAGGGTCGGGGGACTTAGTGAGAGGTAATAAGTATACAGTAGTCTGATAAGTACCCGAAAAGTGGGGTCCGAATTCGAACCCTGAACCATAAACCCTTCCCCAAGGGTCCAAAGTACCCAATAAATAGGTACCTGGGTTTCGGCTACAAGATATGTCGGAGTTATATACTATTCTGGAGGGTACATGACAGTTAGCCACTTGTACGCCTTGGGAAAAACCCGAAACCTTCAGAGTGTGACACACGTTCACGTAACACTAAGCCCTACGAAGCCCAAAACCCTGCGTAACACCTAGAAACCCTGAGCCCAGAACTATGGCCATACAGCTTAAAAAACACAAACCAACGCTACTCATGCAGAAAAACCTTCGGCCCCAAAACAAACTAAAGCTTGTAACTACTAACCCTATTAGCCTCGGAGCCTAGCAACGAATCCAAACTTTGCTGACCCTATAAGGGTCCATGTACCGATATGGTACGTACTTGGGCCATACGGTACTAAACAAGAGCTACAGCAAAGCCAAAGTCTACGACCAACGAGTTCATCTGACCCATATACCCTACACCCATTTGGCGCTCTTACAGGCACCCTTAAAGGATCCCAGAAAGGTTCCTTTAAAAGAACTTCCTTGGGTTCTCAAGGCTCGAATGGCGGGTACTCTGCCGGGTCGTCCGTGCCACCGACCTCCGAAGGGGTTGACCGGTCCTTTAAAAAGAGACTTTTTGGGTTCTAGTAGGATCCCTTTAACGACTCCTACAGGTGCTGCTGGGGCCCCCTTTGAAGACTTGACCTAAAGGAACCCGAATGACACCCTCATTGGGACGTAGCCCGTAATGGTGCGACAGAGGTTATTACAAGTTCTATACGGGCCATTACAAGTGTTTTGGGTTTGGCGGGTGTAAGGGAGCGATAATGGTTGCTATAAGGGTTACCAACCGCTTACTAGAAGCGTTACCATTACAAGGGTGATTATCGGGTTTCGGTCTCGGCTGCTAGAATCCCACACGGGGGATTTGAGCTTGAGTTTTCAGGGATGGGCCTGGGGGTAACGCTAAGGGTAGTTAAGGTTTAGGGTGTAGGGGTTTAGGGGTTGGTAGGGTTTAGGTGTAAGGCTTATATAGGGGTTTGAAAGGTGTGCGTCGGGGCAGTGGAAGCGTGGGTTTCGAAGTTAGCTCTGTATAAGCAACTGGGAAGCTAAAGGATTTCTCTACGAGTCCTAGCCTGCTTGGTATATCAAGCTACGGATGTATCGAAGTCCTAACGAGCACTGCGTGAAGCCCATGAACGATCTATGGTAATGTAACGTCTACCTCACACGACCCGCAGATGCGGCTTCTACACACTACTACCTGGCTACTACGCCCTACTACCCCACCCCCAAACCCGAAGCACTGGCAAGACAAAGTGGTGTTTCGCATATTGCTGCATGACTTAAGGAACGTGCCAGACTTAAGGAACGTGCCAAGCTTGTTGCTGCCAGCGCTTCTTACCAAACATGTCCTATCGTCGTACGAATCATAGTGGCATCATCATATGCATTTCGCACAACCTGGCTGCGACGCTGGGCACAAGGCCATATCCCTATCACAATCAGCTGGGACGGATGGGTGTCTGCAAGATGCCGTGGATGTTGAAGTAGATGCTGTCAAGCTCACCCTCCAAGACTTCCAGCTTAAAGTGCTTCACAAGGCTCGGAGGTCTTTTGCAAGCCAAGAACGTGCTACCTTTGATCTCTTGCTTGTGCGACTCATAAGCGAGGTGCCACGTCGCGCCGTCTGCGGACGACCAAATCAGGAAAGATGCCGCGGATGATCCTTCCACAACCTCTTCCGGGTTAGAAAACATCGTGGAACTCTCTCCGAAGGAAATGCCTTGAAGATAGACCCAAGCTTGGGGAAGCGACCATTGCACCCACCCTTTTCGAAGCGTGAAGGGGCCGTCGTTTTCGGCTGTAGATCTCAGATCTTCCGCGCTGAAGTCCTCGCCCTGCTCCGGCCCGACGATCGGCACCACCCAACAGCCCACAAAAATGCCCTTCTTCCCGGCCATTGTGTAGCGGTTCCAGAGCGTGAAAAGTGCGTCTGTCGTGTGCACATTTTGTGCTCGGATGTCGATGATCGATTCCAAAGAGTCGCAGTCCTTCCTTCCCCAACCCCGGATGGTCTTCCGCAAACCTTCCGCTGAAATGCAGAGCTGGCCTGAACCCAGGATCTCCGTCAAGAGCTCCGGCCGGAGAGAAGGACACTCTTCCAGGGCTTCTTCCGGCTTCGTGAGGATGAGATCGAAAGCCTCTGCTCGCAAGTCGTCTACGCGAAAACGGTCAGCAAATGCTAGGACCTCGCAGGCCATGTCAGGGGTGATGGTCTCTCGAACGAGTTGGAGACACGACAGATGCAAAATCTTGACTTGGTACTTGTCTGCCAACGCTGCCACCTCCACCACTGCTGTGATGGAGCCCACTATGCTCCCGGAATACATGAAGCGCAGGAACATCTCAACAGCACTGGCCGAAAAGTCTGGGATGACGACTTCTGCCCTCTGCGACTCGGCATAGCTGTCTGAGCCGACCATTTTTGCAAAGACAGGAGACCACTGGGCAAGCAGAGAAGACCACACCTTAAACTCCGTGTGCTTCATTGCTAGCTTGCCTGCAGTACCCTGGCAATCTTCACCCGAGGGCTCCTCCACGATGACTGTAAAGTTTCCGTCCTTGCCGAAGCATTTATTCCACATGTCAGATGCAGCAGACAGGTTTTCGTCTGCAACCACCAGCTCTGGCTGCCTTTTCCGCTTGCATCCTGCGGACATGCCGGCCGCTCTTCGAGGAAAGCGATACAGACACACCCAGCTCTCCCGAACTGGGGTATTGCTTCGCAACCCGGAATTCTAAAGCCCCTTACAAACAGGTAATATAGAAAGCAACTCTTCTCATGGTTCAAATGGACATGATGTTGCTGGCCCGATAGCTGGCTGCAAAGCGGAATTCGGCGAGTGAGAGCTTCGGAATGAAGGTCTGCGGAAGACTGGATTAAGGGCTGAACCTTTATTGCCGGTTGAGCCCTAAACCCTGAATGTCAAGGATTTTGGACTTAGAGTCTACAGAATTTTGGGTGGAATTAGGGCTTACATATTTCGGCCCTCGGTTCGGATTTGGGCGCCCTTCTCAGAAGCGTCCCCTCAACATCAACATTCCCTGCAAGCAAGGATGCTACATGGAAGCCCGCTGGCCTGAACCGAAGCGCAGCAAACCCATCTAGATAACTTTGCATTGAGCGGCTAATTTACCGAATGGTCTTCCATCAACCTTGCCTACAGCTCCAATTCCTATCGATTCGAACATCGGACGCTTCAGACCGTTTGCCTGAAGCTTCTTGGGCACTTACAAGTAGACTAGGATTAAGCTGGAAGTATCAAGCTCAGTATAGCTAACCATAAGCAGTTGTTTGTAGCCTTCATGGCCATACAGTTCTTCTTACTTGTCCAATATCCTAAGGGAACTAAAAGCTTCACTTTAAGGATCATGTGAGGAGTATGGCGCACCCCAAAACGGTTCAGGGTTACCCACCCTAAACCCGAAGACCGTCGCCCCCACCGCAGCGATGGGGGCCGGTCGCAACAGGCTGACCGGAAGGAGCTTGTGGACCGAGGGCGAAGGCGGCCACTGAAAAGGGCCTGCCCCGAGGTCCTGGACTCCTGGACCGCAAGGTCCACGCGGCTGATCCGAATGGGCCGCCTGTGTCAGTCCTATATAGTAATAACCCTAAACCTTGGCGCAAACCGGCGGGAGCACTGAAATCCACCAGGGCTGGAGCTTCACATGAAGTCCGAACCGGGCTGAAAAGTAGGAACCCGGAGAATTTAAAATTAAGGACCCGGGCCTAAAAGTAAGGACTTGGACCCAAGACCCGAACTCAAGATTAAGGACCCAAGCGAAAAATTGGGCACAAGAACTCAAGGGCACGAGCTTAAAATTAAAGACCAGGAGTTTGAAGTTAAGGGCTGGCACCGAAAATTTAAGTACCTTGTGCTTTAAATTAAGAACCCGAACCCACAAGTCAAGGACCAAGGACCCGAAACTGTAATTAAGGACCCGAGCCTAGAATTGAGAGCCGCAACAACGGAATTCGGAAAATCAGAGGCCGATTTTAGTTATCAGATTCTGCCTATAAAATGTGTAGTTTAAATTTAGATGGTAGCCAATCCCGGTGTGCACCTCAATCCGGTGCTTAAGTCGACTAAACAATACTAGGAAATGAAAAGGTTCTCAAATGGCTACAAAAAGCAGGGGGTGCCTCATCCGTGGCATGTGCTTTGCAGGAGGAGCGGGGGTTCAAATATTCGACAAAGCGCAGGGGTGCTTTACCTCGTTTCAGGAGGTAGGGGTCTTCAAATGGCTACAAAGACCGGGGGGCCTTTTCTCGTGGCATCTAACAAAAGAACCAGTGGGAATCCGTTTGCGCACCACGTGTGGATCAATCAGTGCAGCGGGGACAAGAAAATCGCATCTTCCTTTATAGCGGCTTATCCAGAAAACGATCAGTTTCGAAGGGCCCCACAACACAGTGCATGCCGGTGGCAAAACACGGTTGGTAGCAATTGTGCTGTGCCGCATCTCGCACTTGACCTGATGCATGCACATCTACGTATTGATGCCTGCTAGTTCCACCATACGAAATGAAAGCATGGTTGAACAGACCTTGAATTTTCTAGCTTCTGCAGCTTTGGCTGTAAGCGAAAGCAACTTGACGTCGCTTTCACACTCGGCCAACTTCTGCTGCATTTTCTCAAATCAATTCTCACAGCTTTCAGACGCCTTTCCTCCAAACCATGCAAGCCCCCCTTGATAATTCGGGAAGGTATACAACCCTAAACCCGTTGGGGATTGCAATTTTGGGTGGGAGGGCTGGCATTGCAGCTCATGCGCCGTCCCCACCTTAATATGGAGCGGTCGACAACGCATCGCAGCGAAATCTCTAAACCCCAAACCCCAAATCCCAAGCCAAAAGTGGCCTTGAGGAAGCCACCCGGATTGTTCAAGAGGTCTGTCAGGAAATCGGCCACGTTGTACCTCGAATAATCGAATTTGCCCAAGTCTGCTGAAACCTACTTTTGGCTATTTTGTTTGCGGGGGCAAAACACGTAAGTTAGCGAAGGTTCAGGTAAGGCTTAGGTTTCGGGGCTTGGGGTTTTAGGGATAGTTTCCGGCTTTCGACATTCAAGCTTCAGGGTTTCGGGGTTTGGCGTTGTGAGCAGGAGGGTGACGTGAAGAAACCAGGTCTTTGCTTGTTGAATCAGTTGTCAGTTCCCCTAGGCTTCCAGGGACCTTATGATTGGGTCTTGAGGGGTCTAGGATGGTCTAGGGCCCTAGTTATAAGGTCCTTGGAAGCATAGAACTGTAAAGCCATGTAAAGCCTAAACCCTGCCATAGTTTGAGGGTTCTTGCAGCTGGGTCTTCGAACTTCGGTGTCAACTCTTCTTTGGGGGTGTACTCAAAGGTTTCGGCTTCGAGCCACATACAGGCGCATAGGGGCCCTGATAGTTAGAATATGATGTTAGCGAACTACTAACGAGAAAGAGTATCATAGAGACTAGAATCAGAAGGGCATACCAGTGTAAATGATTCGAAGCCTCATATCAACTTAGTTGTGAGTTCATAAGCGAGCAAAAGTGTACACTTTCAGTTTTATAGGGGGTAATATTATCCCAAAAAGGGTAAAGTGTATCCACTCAGCTACTAAATCAACGTTCGGCAGAATCCGATGCGACCGCAGGTCAGGTTTCGGTCTCGACATTCGGTTTCGAGTTTAGGGTTTAGGGCAAACATGACCTAGAGGCACCACATATACTACCATTATGGAATTAGGTCCCTGAAACCAAAATAAGAAAGGTCTTTTGGGACCTTATTGCATACTGGTTATCGGGGCTAGGCAAAACCCCACACCCTGCACCCTGGACACCATCGAACCGTTGTTAAAGCCGAAAAACGTGTATAACACAGCTTTCAACGAACCAAAAAAGAGTGCTACTTGAAGATGCGCTGACGCTGGTGTCGGCACGGATGTTGCGCCATCCTCCAGCGCGAACGCCTCGCCAAACAGAGAGTGCCTGTAGGTTTCGGGGCCCTTAGACTTAGTGTGTATAAAGGGTTTAGAGTTAAACCCTAAACCCTGAACGGTTTAGGCCTTAGGGTTCAGGGCTTGTGCCGCTCAAAGGGCAGTACAGCAGTCTGGGAATGAGGCTTGAGCCGGTGATTGGTGCCTGGTCAAGACTGGAAGCTTCAAGCTCGAACCTCCAAACATTACTTGGAGGGTCGGGGCACTTAGTAAAAACTGGTTATTCTTAGGGACTTATAAGTACCATAATCCCAATTAGGGTCCCTTTTCGGGTACTTATAAGTCTATTTACTACCTACTAAGTCCCCCGAACCTCCAAACGTTAAGTCCGTGAATGGCATTCATCATTCGAGCTCATTCAACCTATTGATGACGATGACCACGACGACGACGACGATGATGACGGCAAAGATGAAGGATGTGATGATTGCAGTGCTTTTGATCCCAAGCCCAAGTACTACCGCAAGCTGTAACCTACCCCACTCAGCCTGATTGACGGCATGATCGATGCGCTCCAAGATAGGACGCATGCTCCGGCCGCCGATACCTCGAGGGCTCAGGGTGGAGGGGTTTGGGTTCACTCTGGGCGATTCGGGTTTAGGGTTATGGGTTTAGGGATTTAGGGTTTAGGGTTTTAGGGTTTTAGGGTTTAGGGTCTAGGGTTTAGGGTTTAGGGTTATGGGTTTGGCGGGTGAACATCCAATGCACGGATGAGTCTGGGGGAAATTCGTATTCAAGGTGGTGCACTGCAGTCTAAGGCGTTTGGAGACTGTTTGGCTCGTTGAATGAAGACGCTCCAAGGAGCATGAAGACACGCTTCAGCCATTTCCAGACTATGGGGACTGCTTTTCCGAGGGGTTGTGGACGTTGAAATCGCGCAACCCCAGCTTGCTAAGGCTTGACCCTCTCTTAAGTTAAGCCTCACAATAGCAGAAAACAATCAACTCGTATCGTCGTAGGTTCCAAAACTCTAACATACGGGCCCTTGAAGCCTGTGCTATTTGGCTAGATCATGACAAATGAAATCTGTGGTAAGACCATGATTCGGGATCCCCTTAGCACTTCAGGGGTTCCGGGGCTAGGTTTTAGGGCTCCAGGAGTTTTGGACCTAGGGGCCTAGGGTAGCTTCGATATGCAACATGGATTAACATTCCAGTTAGAATCTTGGAAGCAAAGCCAGCCGTAGTCTCTAATCGGCAACTCCCACATACAATGCTTAGAGCTGAACCCTCAACCCTGAACTCACCTGAACGGTGGAATTCGGGGTTTCAACTATGGTTGTGGGCTTGCTTGGCTTCTCTACGGTACAGATTTGGAGCAATTTGGGTCGGAAGCTCCACCACAAGGCAAACATCTCATGAAGAACTACAAACGCCCAAAACCTCAAATCCAAAACCCTTCAGACCCTAAACCCCTAAAGCCCAAACCCCTACATCCGGAACCCCTAAACCTAAAAAAAAACAGTAAACCCTAAATCAAGGGGAACGATCTCATGAAGAAGACTTCGTTGGTCTTCCGAGGGGCAGGGGATCCAATGCCACCAAGAGATCGGCGCAACAACTGCCTGGGCTTAAATAGGGTCTAGGGTTTAGTTCCTGTACTTGCTCTGTTTCTTGATTTCCTTCGAAGTTCGTGATTTTGGAACGTAAACCCTAAAATTCCCCAAACTCCGCAACATAGTTGGTCATGACGCCACACTTGCAAGGCATAACCTTTTGGTATTCCAGGTAAGCCCTAAAACTCAAACCGCTTCTTCGGTGGTCGTGCGGATCTTGGATTGCATTCATTCTCTCAAGCCCGAGCTTGAGGCCTGTGGCTGTTCGTCCCATGGGTTCAGGTGTGTCCTGGAGCTTTAAGCGGTTTGGGGTTTAATTAGGGGTTTAGAGGTTTGGGGCTGTTGTGGTTTAGGGGTTTAGAGTTGAGGGTTTAAAAAAATGGGGGGAAGGTGTCGGGGTTTACCAGGGTCTGGGATTTAAATCCGACTAGGGCTTTCGAAGCGCTCAGGGTTAGTAGAAAGGGTCTTGTAAAGTAGGTCTTGGTTGCGGCACGTAGGGTTTAGGGTTTAGGCTGGTTTAGGGTTTAGGGTATGTGGTCGGGCAGGATATTCATCCCCGACCCGCAGCGCTAGAACATATAGTCCTGGACTGTATCGAAAGTAGAACCTGGCATAGCCCACTTACCACTCTATGGCTTACTGGGTTATGGAAGTGGATCACGATGATGGCCCACTAAAAACCAATGTAGTAGTCGCATAATATGACCCCTTCCCCGATTCCGCGCTTAAGAACTATAGGAGCTGATAAAGGCTGAGAGGTGTGCTACACCAAATTCAAACCCCTTAATCCCCGAAGACATCATTCTGACCGAGATTGCGTACAGTAGACCCTACACTCTGCACCCTTAACCATGAACCCCAAACCCGAAAACCCCCAACGCAAATCATGATGAATCCAATCCAAAACCGGCGCACCTTGTACCCGGCTTGCCGCATTTCTTCCGCCAGTTCCTCAAAATCCCCGCAGTCGCCAAGGAATCCAGGAACGACGAGTGCCAAGGGCTGATCCTTCCTTGCTTAGGCGCTGTAGGGATGCAGGGTCAGGAATTGAGCGTTTGAGGTATCCTGTCTTCTTCATTCGACACCAAACGCACAAAGGAACGCCTGACACCCCCCAAGAATAAAACAACACCACGGAAGAAAAAAACACAAATCCAGCATAAATACTAACCATGTGCAAAAAACAACAAACGTTGTCAAACAACAACACAATAACCTTCAACCCGAGCGGTGAACAAACAACTCTATAACCGTCTGTAAAGCACAGGGAACGCATTGACAGCAGAGGCTCGAAGTGCCTGTGTCGGCAGCCCTTCGCGAAATGTCGCCTTGCAGCGACGGGGGATCCATGCGGACTGATTTAGGATATTGTGATCACAGAACAGGGGGACTGTTAAGAACTAGTCAGAGATACAAAGGCCTCCAACAAAGTTAAGCTTTGTGGGTTTGGGTCGTAAATTGGGGTTTGGGATTCGGTGCAGAGGTTATGGTCATACGGGGATAGGGTTCAGAGTTTAGGGTTTAGGGTAACCTTAAAGCCTAGACCGCTGCAAGCTTAAGTTCAAGTTCGGCATCGCATCTTGCTCCTTTTGCTAAGGCTTCGGGCTGTGTTGGGCTTCGGATACGCTGGTCGGAGTCGCCTGCTACAAGATCAAGCGACTGTGTAGGAGATAATCGGGTGAGGGTTCAGGGGATCCGGCACCCTAAAAGTTGGGTGTTCAGGGGTGCGGAGTTTGGTGTTTAAGGTCTAAGGCTCCGGGTGATAAACCCTATACACCCTGAACCCTTGTGTTTAGGAGGAAATCATGGGAAACGCTAAAACCCCCTGAAGACACAACCTTCAGGGTATCTTGGAACTTCTTCTTGATTTACAAGTACAAATAACCTTCGGAGCAGGCCCGTACCATGAATTTCAAGCACCAAGCGCTTCAAAACTGTAGTGTTTATACTGTTTATACACAATAAACCCCGACCCCCCCATCCGTAAACACATAGCCCGCAACCCTAAATAAAAGCAGCTGAAACGATTCTCTTTACAGAACCTTTTGAGAGCCGTGTAACCAGAACCCATAAATCTCCCCGGCAAAACCAAATCAAGCCCCACGAATCCATGGTGCCGCTGGGATTCGTCTCGATGGGGAGCTGCGCACTCCCAGAAAGTTGCAATCTCCTAAAGTCGAAGGCTTCGCGTAGTCGAGCTTTTAGGCTTCCTTTCAGTATTTCTTTAAGTGCTCCCTGTAGGGTTCCTTTCATCCTTTCAGGGCTCCTTTTGATTCATGCTTCAAGGTTTCTAGCTTGAAGTTTAGGGTGGACTGTAAGCCGTACACTCCAAATGCTCCGCACCCGCAGTCCTAACACCCCCAACGCCATTAGCCCCCAACCCTACAACCCTACATCCTAACACCCCCCAGGCTTCACAAGCCCCAACACCCCAACCCCGCAACCCTCCCAAACCCCGGTGCTCGAGGCCATGCCATGAAACCCTAAACCTAAACCCCTAAACCCAATCGAGCGGCTGCTGCTGCTCCAGACCAGGACCTCGAATCGGCTTGAGGTGACTCCGACACCACAATACTAACCCTCAGGCCCTCCAGACTCTAAGGACCCTCTTCTGAGGCTTTGGGCCCGTAGATAATACTAAAGAAGGTTTTTGGGGTTGAGCCCTTGGCGGAGGCCTCTTATCCAGGAAAGTTTTCTTAGGCTTTAATGGTTCCATAAGGGTCCCCAGGGGCTTAGAGCTTTGGGGCTTGGGGTTTCTCCCAGGGTGTTTGTATATGCATCTATTAAGCTTTTTAACTCCTTTCTCCACCCTCAACATCGATTTTGTTTTTGAAGTGAAACGTCTGTTGCGGGGTTAGACCGGAGGGCCTAGGGTCGAGGGCTCAGGGTGCTGGTTTTGGGAGGTGCAGTCCACGCCGAAAGCCTCAAACCCTGAACCCGAAACTCCGAAGCCCCTAACCCTGATCTCCAAGCCTCCAGGGAACCCAAAAGGGTAGTTGTCAAAATTAGGGTCCCTTTTTGAGGGACCCTGAATAGTAAGTGCCGTGTTACATTAAGGACCCCCCAAAATTGCACCATAATTTTGACAACCACCTATATAGAACCTCAAGGAACCCTTAATGGAGATGAAAGCACAGTACATATACTCCACCCCACGAGGTCCTCCACCAGCACCTGACCAAAGTAGATAGCTGAAAGCTGAGAACTGATCTATAAGGGGTTTCCATAAGCTTTCTAGAATGGAGCCATGAGGGTTCTATACTATGCTATAAGATACTGCAAGGGTCTAGGGCTTGAAGCTAGTATTGGGAATTTGGGGCTGTATACATGGGAAATATACTACTCTACCCGTTTAAGTAGTTAGGAGCTTCAGCATATCAAGAAACCCAAACTAAAACATAAATCCCAAAACAGTAGGCTCATCACCAGCACCACATATTTTTCAAGAAGGGAAATGGTTGGCAATCAGTTCGGTGTGTATGGTTTTCTTTCCCCTCCAACACCCCAAGACCACAAATCCCCTAAACCCCTGAACCCTAAACCTCTTGAAGCGTCTGAAGCCGCAATCCTAAACTCTACCTATAGAATAAGTATTGGGGACTCTGACTTGCTCAGGTGCCTGTAAATCTTCTCGCAGCCTGCCTTCAACATCCCCCGATCTTGAAGATTAACCCAAAACATCCTGCAAAGCCCAAGGCCCGAAAAAAAAAACGGTTACACTCCAAGCTCAGAGCCCTCCCTTGTAGATCTTATGGAACCGCTACAGATCCCTTTAAAAGAGCCCCTTAATCGGAAGGGTTATTAGGGGGGTTTCCGAAAATGGGGGGACCCTAAAAAAGGACCCTAAATAGTAGGATCCTTATTATAGGGACCCCCAATTTAAATAAGGTACCCCTGATTTTCGGAAACTCCCATACTAGTCCTGCGGAATTATATACCCCCATCCCCTCAACTCCTGTGCTGCCAAGTGTCCGCCACAACGGCGGCCGCAGCGCAAGTGCGACCCTTACCTCGGCTTTTGTTTACGAAAGAAGGTATCTGACTCCCCTCTTATTCCTCATAGTCTGTTTTAAAAAAGCAGACCCCGACCCCAAAATACCGGCAAAAGGGTACCACGTGGGTACTACTGATGAAGGTACCTAGGTGTCGGGCCCAGGGTGTAGGGATCAAGATTGTGGGGTTCTCAGTCGAAGGAAAGCCAGAGAGAGAGAGAGAGAGAGAGAGCTGGGCTTTTTTGTTCAGGAATTTCTTCTAAGTTACCATATTAAGCAAACCATGTTATTAGCTATCGGTCCCGGATTATTATGGTAACTTTAATTTTCATTCCGTAACGAAAACCCAAGAGACAGAGAGGGAGGGATTAATATGTGTATATTTTTATATATACACATGTGTTTATATTTATGCTTATATGTATACATATGGACGTATAGAAATTGAGTTACACACACACTAACTACTACGTGCCCTTGGAAAAGCATACATACATCCATGAATTTTCGCATTCATGCATGTGATTTTGACGTCGCGGGATTTGGGAGGTTCTGGAAGGCTTTGGGACATGGGTATGGCGTTTAGGCTCTAGGCTTTTAAGATTTTATACCTGGAAGGGATCCTTATGAGTTTAGGGCTCTAGGGCAGGTTTTCAGGGCTTCAAAATCAGAGCCGAAAGCCGCCAAGCTACAGGGGTTTAGGGTTTGCCTGAAGGCCCAAAGCCCTACTTACCTACCGAAGAAGACGCCTTACAAAAAGGTACCTTTTGAATGAAAACCGTTGCACACACCTACGACCGAACAATCCCCCAAGAACAAAACCTAAGCCCTAAACTCCTGAACCTGTATTCTAAATTCTAAACAGCCTGACAGGATGCCTTCAAAAATCCTTTAAACAATCGCAAAAGGAAACCTTAACGGACCCGAAAAAAACCCATGAGCCAAGGAGCCAGTTCTCCAAAAGCTCCGGCGAAGAGACGGCGCCATAGCGGGCTTTTTGTGACCCTTAGGCTCTAAGGACTCATACTATACTATATAAGGCTTTTGGGCTATTTTGAGCCCTAGGGTAAGAGCTCTATCGCCAGGGGAGTTACGGATTGAGTTTGTGGGTTGGAAGGGTTTGCATAAGCCGGTTACGCGAATGATACTATGTCTAGACACCGATAAAGTAGGCATATGGTGAATGGCCAGGGTTTGGGAATAAAGGCCTTAGGGTAAACCCTCTCCGCCCCTCCGGGGTTTGGCCTTTCAATATGGGTGGTTGTCAAAATTACGGTCCCTTTTTTGGGTCCTTAGTATAATACGGCACCGAATATTTAGGGTGCCGAAAAAGGGACCCCAATTTTGACAACTACCCAAAGGTACTGTACTCTTCAGCCAGAGCGGACACCTTAGAACAGACAACTACTCTAAACCCTTCATGCCCAAACTGTGCAGACCAACACTAAACAGCTTCTTTAACCTCGCGATCTGAAATTGCACGCTCGACTAGACCCCAAATCCTTGCCAGGGTCATTGCAATGGAACTCTCATAGCTCGCATTTTCAGAGCTGGAATCCTGGTGCCCGATCGGCTGCGACCCAGACAACTTTTCCCTTTAATGTAAACTCTGGTCTGAAGAAGGGTTTACTTTACGGCCGACGTATAGACTACGGTTGATGATACAAATCCTGCATTACCCATAATAAGGAATATACCACAATTCCCATAGTTTAGGGTCCTTAAGGTAATGCAGGATTCATAACATCAATCGTATATGACTGTAAGGTCGATGAGCCTTAGGCTGTGGCAGGGCTTGGGGCTTGCAGGTTGAAGTTTTGGGTCTGCCACAGAGCTCGCCGTGTCCGCGTGTCGCATCCAATACGACTGCCAGATGCAGTTCTGCCAAAGTCTTTCCACACCGACTATGTAACGTTTGACGACTCTGTGAAAACGGAGGCACTTGAATACCGCAAGCTTCGGCGCACACATACATGTGAGTACAGTGCATTTGCGCGTACATATACATGTGCACATATACACATATTTACACATCTTATATGAAAGAAAAACATACGTAGTTAGACACACAAGCACACACACAGGCAAACAAACAGAAAGGTAGCACCTGGCTAGAGCAACGCAACCACATGCTCAAGAACCCAGCCATAAACCCCAAACCCTAAACCTCAAACCCCTAGATCCCACAACCCAAAACCCTTAAACCCCTAAACCCTAAACCCCCGCCTCACACCTACTCCTTAAGACAGGCAAATGTAAATGTGATCATCATTCATACAACGAGATCCCAAAACCCCTTAATCGAGGAATGTACCTTAAAATGTAATGTTATGCCCGATATAGTTTAAGGTATATTCCTTAATTAGGGGGTTTTGGGATCTCTGGGTACTGCTACCGACTCCTGCTTGTCTAACATAGGACCCGTCATAATTTTTCGGGGCCCATTATACCATAAGTATGATCAGGAGCCCCCAAAATGGCGTTGGTAATATTACTTAAGCCCCTGGCAGCACGACTGTTGGCGATTCTAGTGGTGATTTCACCCCTAAACCCGACCTTAACCCGGAATAACCCGAGACTGGAAGGCATTTTCTCAGAGCCATGAGGGGTTGTCGGTCGATCTCCCGCTGCGTCCCTGTCCTTGGCTGCGTAGATACCCCAAATAGTAGGATCCTTATTGTGAGGACCCCGAAATAAGGTGCCCCTAATTTGCGGAAACTCCCATCAACCTGAAGCCTTAAATCGTACTTGGGATAAGGCAGTTTAAGATATACGTATTTCGATTAAGGGATACTTGAAGATCTGGGTGCATCAGGTGCATGCCGAACCACAAACGACAAGTAAAGCCTAAGTGCAGATGGGGAATCGGGTGCTCAAGCTCTGCTGCACTCCGTGCCTAGATCCTCTCGCACAATTCACGCCCTAAACACTTAACCCCGAAACCATAAACCACCCTTAACCCTCTGTCGTGCGTAGGCGGATCCCTGAGTCTGTGTGCAGACAACCACCAAAGCAAAGCAAGGCTGCTGGGGCGTCTGTGAGAACTGATGAAGTAGGTTGGCACGTAAGATGGTATTGGATCGAGCAACGTCGAATCTGCAACCGCGCGTCTGTGACCCTGAAGACCTCAAACACCTCTTCCTCAGCTACATAGCCACGGCCACCACCACCACCACCACCGCCGCCGCCGCCCCCACCACCACCACCACCACCACCACCACCACCACCACCACCACCACCACCACCACCACCACCACCACCACCACCACCACCACCACCACCACCACCACCACCGCCACCAGCATCATCATCAACGTCCTCGCCATTGTCATCATCACCACCAACAACAACAAAATCGTCGTACCCATCTTAACCGAAAAAAATGATCACAATCATCAACAACAACATCATCGCCGCATCGTAGTCATCATCACGATCATCCTCATCCTCACCATCGTCACCATCACAATGATCACGGTCATCAACATCATCATCACAATCGCAGCAACATCAACATCACCATTATCATCATCATCCAGAGCGTAGCCATAATCGCCAGCAGCGCCTGCGACAGCTTCAGCACCAACACCACCAAGAACCAGCACCAGCAACAGCATCGTGACCTTCAACCTCAGCATCAGCATGGCAAACCCAAATCATCTCCACATCAACATCATGGCCACTCATCGCCATCACTATCGTCATCGCCACCCCCGTGCTACTCCGGAGGAGTGCAGGGCTTCAAGTCTTTCCGGCTGGAACCCTGAACACGGAAACCCTACACTTTACTTACGGCTTAGCACTCTAAAGCCCAAACCCTGAAGTCTGCACCCTAAAGGCCCACATGGCGGTGCTCTTCAGCACACCCCGCGCGCAGTGCAAGCTTCGAAGCTCAGGGGGAGGGGGGGGGGGGGGTGGAGTTTTCTCTCCGAAGCTCCGGCAAAATGCGGAAGTAGGGCCTGTCGCGTTGAGGGAGCTAGGGGTTTAAGGTTCAAGGCTTGAGTGGTTTAGGAGGCCATTGGTTAAGGCGGAAGTAGAGTTGAAGGTTTCGGTGCAAATAATATCGAAACTTTTCCAGGGGCATGTGGACGGGGAGGTGGAATCTTTTGAGCTGACTCGCCTTCGTCGACTCGGTTCAGCAGCGTCCATGTGAGCCGGCTTTGACTTTGCCGCCGACATAAAGCACACACGTCTCCGCTCTTGCCTCTGGCAAGAGCGGAAACACTGCACACAACGGAGTGCCAACAGAGGTCTTGCAAGGGGTTACTATAAGAGCCTTAATAGTATACTATACTATACTATACTATACTGAGGACCAACCCCGAAGAATATACTTGGTAATCGTTTGGGCCCCTGCAGTACTGCTACTGCGTCTTTCAAAGCGCGTGTCGCCTGAACTCCTAGGCAGCTCAGGATGAGCGAAATGTTACTATTGTATCACAGAATGCTGTAATGTCTCAAAATATGTATAATACGACATAATCTCATGCTGAGGGACACAAGGTTCAAGGTTAGGGTTTGAAGGTGTAGTGCTTTGTCGTGGCTGGGATTCAAGGCTTCGCTTAGGCTGTGAAGGGGTGAACCCTACACCCGAAACCCTGAACCCTGGGCTTGGGATTCAAGCGAAGCGCTGCTGATTAACACCCTAAACCCCTAAACCCTAAACCCTTAAACCCCCAACCTTGAACCCTAAACCCTAAAAATGCGCAAGCGAAGCACGGCTGATTAAAAATGTGCAGGACAGGGCCTTCGACCCAGTACAGAACCTCGGCAATGCCACTTTACTTCAACCTACCAGAACCTACTTTTCTGATAGGGTCCCTATATATAGATCCCATATTAGGGCTTATACTAAGACTACGTATCAAGTACCCGCAAAAGAATAGGTTTTGGGTAGATTAAGCTCCGAATGATTTCATGGAGGCCCTCAACAACAAAAGCGTATTTCTTAATCTTTGAAGAACCGCAGCCAATCAACAAATACCGGCATGTACCTGTCTGAGCGCAACCCTGTGCACTGCACTGGTTGGAGGACATGGACGGCTTAGCCGACAGCAAAACGCAGCTGGCATAGATCTGTCACACCGGAACTGGAAGCGAGGGGACTTTAGGGCCTAGGGCCTAGGGCTTGGATGTGGATTCTTGCGTGGTTCCTGATCTACACCGCAGAGCTCATGCAATGACAGGCGCTTGGTTTATGTGATCAACAGGTATGCGATCAAACACACCAGGCACCCAAATGGTTGCCTGTAGAAGTAGTCCCTATCTTCAGGACTCCTTGGCTAAGCCCTCATGCACTGTAGGTTGCTTGCTGGCAATTCGTTCAGGGCGCTGCAATCGCGGCCGCCTTTTCTTCGTCTTGGCTACGTAACATCAGCACCTGTGCCCGCGTAAGGCAACTGCAGGCCAGGCCAGTGGGCAGCCCGAAGCAAAGCAGGCAGGTGGCAATAGGAAAGGAGGGAAGAGGCATGATAAACCACAGCGCAAACCTGCAATCAGCAGTATCTTGCACCCGTAGCTCGTCTTGCTGGCAGTACGGCTGTAAAAACACCATGTACGCCAACAGGAAGAACATGCTGGCACTCAAGCAAAGAGTACCCCCACACATCCAAGTCGCTGGGGAGTCCGCGCACTCCACCCCGCATCCCTTGTTGCAGCAGGTCTTCGAACATAAGCAGCTAGCAACTGCCAAAAACGTCAGCGCAAGCGCAGCTTCTCTGATACGAAAAGGAGCCTGATGACTGCCACAAGCTTCTTTGCATTCCACAAGAGCGGTATCTGCCACTCTCTCCTCAGCAAGGAGAAGGAAACATTCATCAAAGCACCCTTGCTTGTTTCTGGGACATGCATCAAAGCACTTCCTGCTATCACCAATGCAGGCGCGGGAGCCAAGCGCAATGGACGCAAAGCAAGAGATTGACTCAGAGCACCCGGCCCAACAACTCCGCTGGACATCTTCGCTGATGTAGCTCGCCACAACTGCACTGATGGCGGAGACAGCCAAGAACGCAAATGCCAGGATACCGGGACTTCGCCAGAGTCGACAGAACGCCGGAGCCATGACTTCACCGTTGCAGAAGGAGTGTGGCTGCTAGCAAGGGACCTCTATTTTCTGCCAGCGAAACCGCTAAACCTCATCAGGTCTCTGAAATCCTGCAGGGGAGTGCTTTTCTAGCAAAGACAACTGACTTCTGTGCACATAAGATTCGAAAGCAGCAATCCTTCCGTCTTTCTCAATCATGTTGAATTTAGGGCTGAATGCTCCACGTAGCGACTAAGAGACCTTGCTACGAGTCCTGTGCCTTTCCGTACCTGGTGTGTAGAGCAGCCCAGAGACTTGGAAGGCCCCTGAACCCTAAACCCTGGAGGTTTAGGCTTTGCTGGGGAGGAATATGGGCTTCTGGGGGCTGATGGAATTTGGGGTACTGCGGGTACTGCGAAATCTAGGTTCAGCCGTGGCCTTGCTTTGTAGCATGGACTTCAGGGTTTAGATTTGGAGTTAGGAACTGAGGTAGTCGGCGCACAGTCAAGATTCGGCTCAGACATCCTCAGCCGACTTGCAGAGTAGTAACAGAACCTGTGCAACGAGGAACAGCCTTCCTGAGGCTACGTGAAAATCTCAGAACGCACAACCGCCCAATTGGCCTACTTGCCCTAGGGCCCTGTAGGGCTCTATGGACTCATATGTTAAGGCTTCTGGGCCCAAAGACCATACTATATAAGATTTTTGGGCTATAGTTTGATCCCCAGGCGAGTCGGCCCTCCATGGGTTGGATGCAGCTCACTTTTGGTCCGCGGGTTCTTTGACACTTGTGGTCGCAGTCTTTCCCCAAAGGGTCCTAGGTACTGTTATGGGGAATACTTCTCCAAATCATAATAGTAATTCGCAATATAGAGACCCTTTGGGTTCCCTAGCCCTCAACGCTCAGCTGCCGATTAGGTGGTTCATTGCCCTTTGGGATCTATGCTAGCAGGTCCATATACGCTACAATGATGGAATTAGGCCCCCCAAAACCATAATGGGGAGGGTCTTTCAAGGCCTAATTCCATCATAGTAGTGTATATGAACCCTCTAGGATATGCGGGAGGCTTTGGAGCGTCGGGAGGCTTTGGAGCGTCCTGTTGTGGTTTGGGCCTACGGGGCTTGGCACTGTGGGTTCTGCCGACTGTCGAGACCGCCTGCGTCTCCAGTTCTCTAAGCACTGGTCTTACGTACATGAACAAACCCTAAACCCCAAACACTGAACCCCTACTTAGCCCTAAAACCCTAAACCCCTAAACCCTAGAGTCTTAAGCTTCAGTTGACTGGCAGCCTGAAACCCTAAACCCTGAACCCTGGCCGAGGATTAGCCAGGTGTGCGACAGGGTGAAACAGCGAAGCAATCTGCGTTTGCAGGAGATCTGTCGTCCGATGAGTAGTCAAAGGTGTCCAACTCATCCGCCTCAACAAGAGTCATGTAGGGGCCTAAGTTATTCGAACTCTGGGTTCAGGGGCCCGAACTCTTAGTTCAGAGTTCTAGAACTCCAGCTTCGGAACTTAGAGTTACTTTGACCAGCTTTTGGGGTATACACTATAGTTGTATTTACAGTAAAATCAGAGCCGAACTCTGCGGAGTAATGTTTGGTAATTCTTCAGACTTCTATATTATTATTCTATATTACTGTTGGCTCTTTGAGGTCCTAGGATTGAGGGGTGTGGGACTGTCGTAGGAATGCACTGGTTTTCCACATGTCTAGAATTTATATAGGGTCTTGGCATTAAGCAACACCCAACAAAACCAAAACCCTAAACCGGCCTGCGAACGCATCTTCAACAGCGAAATGGCCACTGCCAAGAGCGCGTCGGCAGAGGAGGCGTGGATGACCCTCAGGTCCTTCCTCGTACCTGATGCAGGGTTTTTTTTGGAGGGTTTAGGGTTAAGGGTGCAGGGTTTAGGGTGCAGGGTTTAGGATGCAGGGTTTAGGGTGTAGGGTTTGAGGCTCCGAATGATTAGGACAAAGATTTCAAGGTGGATATTGTGGTATAGCCAAAAGGGGACTTCCTGGTCCCTATAAGCCCAGAACAGAAAAGTAATATGGGGCCAGTACGGATGACTCTGAAAATCATGGTCCCATTGCGGAGCCCTATTCTTGCTACGGCACCGTTTCGTTTGGGAGCCCGAAAGGAGCCCTAGATTTGAGAACCACCCAAATGGATGACGATTTGGGACGGGGCTGCCCTGACATATTCGGAAGCGTTGAATTTGGCATGTCACACGGTTCTAGTCGGATCCTTTGGTTTTTAGGGCTTATAAGGTTTCTAGGCTTTGGTAGAGTAGATTGTTGTCGGTGGGGCCTTGGAGTACACATGGGTGCCATGTGTTGCTCCGGGATATCTTCTTCGTGTCTACGACGCCTTTCTAAGGAGCCACCAGAGACTGAGGGCTCGGGTCTCAGGCTAGGACTTTCAAGACCCAGGGACATTATGCGAAGCCCATAAAAGAGGGTTTTGGGGTTTTCCTGAGGGGATTCACCAAACCACCAATCGTGCTTGTAAGCCTCCAGGTGCCGCATTCGGTTGGCGGCTGTCCCAGATGTTCGTACATACTCAATGTAAGGGGCTTAATAAATGATGAGAGCCGCTTTTCGGGTATATTATACCACAAGTCTATGAGTCCAATTCCTGCGGAACCCATAATTGAGGAATTGTGTTGCCATCACTCACACTGCATACATAAACCTTCTTTCGCCAGTACCCCGGAAACATGCCTGCGCAATAATGCATGGCTATTTCCACCGAACCTGCAGCCATAAAGCCTTTAAGGCAACCTACAACCATAAACCCAAGATCCCCAAACCCCAAACCCTAAATCCGCGAAACCCTAACAGCCTAAACCCTACCCCAAATCAAACCCCATACCCTAACACCCTAACGTGCTAAACCCTAGATCCCCCAAACCCCAACACCCTTAAACCCTAAATCCCCTTAAACCCAGAGCACCCCAACACCGTAGACTGCCCAAGCCAGAAAGCCTTTGGATGCCAGTTCTCGAGCACATCGCAGGAACTGGCTCTGCAGACCAGCCTTTTCAGCCTGTTGTGTGTTTGTTTAGGGTTTAGGATATATAGGTAGTTGTCAAAATTAGGGTCCCTTTTCGGATACCTTAAACATTAGGTGCCGTATTATAATAAGGACCCAAAAAGGGACCATAATTTTGACAACAACCAATATAGGTGTCTCCTTGTTGCGCCAGCCTGATCCTCCCAAGGGAACCCAAGATGCATATGCGTTTGTGTGGGGTTTGGGATGACAGCTCACCGGCTGTAGTGCTGCGCTGGCTAGGTTAGACCAATTGCGTGGGTGTAGCGGGGGTCCTAACCTTCACTCCAAATCCTGAAGCTCCAAAATTCTGAACCCAAAACGCTCTCATACAACCCGCGCCCAGCTGCAACGTTAAAACGAGCCCACGGCAGAAATTTCTGTGATCCAGAGCCCTATTAATTACCCTAAGGGTCCAAAGGACCGAATTAGGCACTCGGTTTGGGGATAGAGATTTAGTCATTAAGAATACACGTGACTGTTTTAAAGAGTATATGCAGTATATGATAATTAAGTACTTGGACCCTTAGGGTTAGAGCTGGCGTACTATAGCGGCCTGGGTTCCTCTCAAGGTTTCTGGAAAAAGGTCACGATCAGAAATACAACGATTGAACCGGGTTTGTGGGTTATTAAAATATGTTTACGGACGATAAGGGTAGCGGGATATTAATACCATCCCAAAACCCTAAAGCCTATTCCAGTCCGTATAACAGATGATCGGGCTTTTAGTTTACAGTCGATGACCAGGAGCCGTGGATGGACTGCCGAGCAGGGGGCCCCGCAACACTCATGAGTGCGAATTAAGCCGCGGATCGATACTACATGGTGCTCCTCGCTCACGCTGGCCCACTCGCTTTTGTAGTGCTGCTGCACTGAGGGGACCGAAGCCACGGTGCAGAAATCTTGGTGCCCCTTTTTTTGTATCAAATTCCGACCACTTTGACGGTGCGGGCATCCAAGTCTCCGGTGGTACCCCTGCCGAATGTCCACAGTCTGCTTCAGGGTTTAGGGGTTTATAGGGTTTAGGGCCAGAGGCAAGCCGGCTCCCGGCATGTAGCGCTGTGGGAGGTTTCGGAAGCCCAACTTGCAGCGAGTTCTCTTAAAGCCCTAAGACCCTAATTAAACCCCAAACCCTGAAAGCCCTAAACCCTGAAACTCCTAAACCCCAAACCCTGAAAGCCCTAAACCCTGACCCTGAAAGCCCTAAACCCTGAAAAGCCCAAGCCCTGAAAACTGAAAACCCTAAACTCAGTTACCGTAAAGCTGCTTTCGGTAGGCCCTGCCATGGTGTTTTCGCGCGGCTGCATTATTTGCGGATGTGCACGGGGCTGTGGATCAAGAGAGGGCTCGATAGCAATAGCTTCTTCATGAAACGGTCCGTTTTGTTTTATTAGCCCTTTTCCGTCTGCAGTTGCGTCCGAAACCCCTGTTCGAGGGAGCATGGATGCCTAACCTCCGTCCCCGACGACATATTGGCATCTTACGCTATCGGTTCGGAGGCTTAGGGTTTAGGGTTACCGTAATCATCAGTAGCCCAGAGGGTCCGTGTCTACTGCCATTGCGGAACTAGGTCCCAGAAGACCATCCTTAATGATGCTTTTGGAAACCTAATTTCATAATGGTAGTGTGTGTATATATATATATGTATGTATGGAACCCCTTAGAGTAATTATCACCGTCATCACAATCCGTAAAATCATTTTCCGTCAGCAGTTTCAATGGCACCAACCTCACCATCATCAACTTCACCATCACCAGATTCATCATTGCTGCTCTTCCCTAGACCCTCAACCCTAAAACTCTCAGAGCCTAAACCTCTAAACCATCCTAAACCCCTCAACCCTCCAAATCACCGGCTCAAGTTTCATTGAATCACTGCATTCTTGCTGCCGACGCGGTGATTCATCTTTACACCAAATGGGGTTCGAACTATAGGCAAAATTGCCTGGGCTTGCTCAGTAGAAGATGTTCTGGGACGGCGATATAGGGACTGTCAGGGGTATCTATACCTCAGGCATAACCTCATATATCTTCCCGAAGCCCTCGAGACCCTGTGCAGGGCCTTTCCCAAACATATTGAAACACCTTCGAACCCCGAAAACTTCCACAACCATCTGGAACCGAAAACCCCGCAGCGTAACCAAAAGCTCCAAAACCCCAAACCGCAAAACGTAGGTTTAGGGTTTCGGGTTTAAGGGTTTAGGGTTTCAATCCCCCCACCTGCAGCAGCCTGGCGGGGGTCACCTAGGCAGGGGCTACGGCCCAGGGCACACTCCAGTGGCTTCGGGCTTACAGGGTTATAGGGATTTAACAAATGATTAAACAGGGTTTAGGGTATAGGGTATAGGGTTTTGGGTTTGGGGTTTGGGGTTTAGGGTTAAGGGTCTAGGGCTTACTTGGGGAGCCAGAAGCCTGCTGTTTTAAGGGTGAATTAGGGGTCATAATCTACTATTTTGTAGAGTTTGGGGATACAGGTAGCCGTTTGGGGTCTGGGGCTTTGATTGTGGCATGTATTAGAGTTGGGCTTGGGGTCTAAATTCTGGAAGCAAGGATAAGGGCTGATATAGCTTTGATTTTCACACTAGTCCTTGCACCCTTCGTAAACCCTCAAGCCTAAACCCCCCACTGACAGAAATCCTGAACCCTACACCCTAACCCGTAAACCCTACATCCTAAACATTCCAAAGAAGTCCAGAAGCTGGGAGGCGGAGAAGAGTTGCCTCACAGGCCTTCTTCAGCCGATCCACCTGCGCACGGAATGCACGGTGCTCCGGGTGTTGAGGGCTTAGGTTTAGGGTTTGAGGGGGTTAGTTTGGGGTAAGGTTTTGCGGTGTGTTTCTGTTTCAGGGCGTAAGTGTTTGGAGTCTTTTCTTTTAAAGGGCCTCTTTTCGATCTGCAGAAAGCGTCTCAAAAGCCCATTTGGGCAGGCGACAGGCATTGAGAGTTTAAGGCTTAGGGTTTTAGATTTGGGTTTTAGGCTTCAGGTTTTAGGGTTTAGGTGCAGGGATTAGAATTTGGGGTTTCGGCATGTCTTCCTAACAAGCCCTTAACCAAGACCTGCTGTAAAGACTTTAGAACTCAACACAAAATCTGCCATGCCGGCCTGTCTAGATTTGCTGGGCTCTTGTCAAGGAATTTGACTTCTGCTACCATGAGAAGGAAACCTTGACGCTACTATACATCCCTCTTCAATAATCGTAACTTGACCTAAACCTGTGACCCCAAACCCACAAAAATGGTAGGTTATGACCCTTAATTAAAGAGTATTTGGATCCCCAGGTATTCCCTAACCCAAACCCAGTTTACCATGAGACAAGGACTGTCAGGTTGAGTATGTGTTTCTGATAGGTTTTTGGCCCTTCGGAGGGTTGGGAGTATGATAGCGGGCCTGCAATAGGTTGGAAGAAAAGCAATCTTGGATTTCAACAAAAAGACCCGAATCCCAAGATTCGACCATATCTTGGGTTTCGCGATTTGAGGTTTAGAGGTTATTGCGATGATTCTTCTTCTAGGATCAAGCTTTAAACCCTAGCCCTTTCAGGCTGCAGGACTTCATGGCCTGGTAGTAGTCGCTGATTGTGAGCAAGGTGTCCACGTTCTGAGCAGTCCTGTGTCCGACAGGGCTTAGGGTTTCCCAGAGGGACCAAGTACCCAAATAGTAGGGTTTTAGGTCCCCAAATCCATACCCTGAATGGTTTTTGGACCCTGAAACCCTACTATTTGGGTACTTGGACCCTTAGGGTTTAGGGGTCTAGGGTTTAGTGTCCGAGGAAAGTGAAAAGTACGCGGCTTATGAGCTCCCGGAATGTAGTCCCTGAGCCTTAAAACCAAAACGCAAAAAGTAAACGTGATCGCTGACCAAGGCTCAGCTTCACAGGATGCCTCCCCAGGAGGCGCTTGAGCAGACTGTAAAAGGCATCGAAATCCTGCGGCTGTTGGGAGGACTATGCCCTAACTAAGGAGTATTTATTGGGCTTTCTGGGGACCTTTGACCCTAGAGGGTCCAAGTACCTAGTAATCATATACTCTCCCAAATATTGACCTACATAACTACTATCTATCCTAACCAAGGTACCTGATTATTGAGTCCTTGTTAGGGTATCACCCTTAACCCATGGAGCTTAGCCGGGAGCATTTCGGGTTACATGTAATTATTACTGCCCCTGTGGTACATGGGTGTTTTCAGGGATCTGTTGTTGTATCCTCTCCGTTTTGTTTCAAGGTTTGGGGTAACAGGGCTTGGGATGGCTTCGAACTTTCAGGCATGGTTTAGGGTGACTGTACGGTTGATGATATAGATCCTGCATTACCTTCATGAGCCTACACTACATGGTACATTCTCATTATGGGGAGTGCAGGATCTACAACATCGAATGTTGCGGCTTGCCCACACCAACATTCTCATCACGTCTTCTACAGGTCTTCAGTGGCCCGAAGCCTACAAAGATCTTCTAAAGAGCCTAATCTAGGGGCCTTAATACGTACTTTCAAAGTTGGTAGGGGATCTGCACTTCAGCCCGCAGGTATGGGGTTGAAGTTCAACATCGCGATCCCGCTTTACTGACCTTGGGTTAGTAGGGAATGGAGGCATGAGGTACCATTATAACTACTGTTACTATATACCATTCTTCCATTCCGTACCAACCAAAGGTCAGTTTAGGCTTGAGAACTGCGAATGGATCAACAACGCTTTGGGGTTGTGGGGTCTGCAGGAACAACTTATAGAAGCCCTTTGAACCCCAAACCGTGCTAAGTCGTAAATCGACAACGCTAAACACTAAACCCAAACTCCTAAACCCTCAACTCCAACCCCAAAAAATCCCACACCCTGAATCCTAAACCCTCAGCCCTACACCCCAAATCCTACACCGTAAACCCCAACTCCCCCCCCGAACGAGTCCTGCTTCGTGGCCACCTCCACCTTAATGCTCCGCTGCTGTGCCTCTTTCATGCCGGAGGAGAGCATCGACCGGAAGACCTCCCGAGGTATCTACTTGGAGGGTCGGGGGACTTACTAAGTAGTTATTTTGTAGAGGTTTATAGGTACCATAACCCCAATTAGGATCCCTTTTCGGGTACTTATAAGTCTACTTACTACCCAGTCACTAAGTCCCCCGACCCTCCAAGTAGGGGGTGGTTGAAAGGATCCCTTGAGGGTTCCTTCTAAGGCTCCTTCAAGGGATCCTGTAAGGGTTCCTTTAAGGGTTCGAGCTGTAGGGCTTCCTTTAAAGGTTCAGGGTTTAGGGCTCATAGGGTTTAGAGTTTGGGGTTTAGGGTTTAGTATGCTTGGAGGGTCGGAAGGCTTAGTAACTCTTTAAAGGATCCTTTAAGGGTCCGATCTACTGTCTGGGCCTTCTTTGTTCAGGTTTAGGGGTTTAGGCTTTAGGGCTCATAGGGTTTGGAGTTTAGGGTTTAGCCGATAAGGGCCTTTAGAGGAAGCCTTATGCAAATTATCCGTTAAAGGAATCAACCTGAACCCCTAAACCCTAAATCTGTATATTATATGGACCCTCTTGGGTAGAATAAAGTTTAGGCGCGTGGGTTTTAAGCTCGGGGAATGGGCGCGTGGAGCTTCGGGATTGAGGGTTCCTTTGCAGGGATCTATAGGGCTCTGTAAGGGTGTCAGTAGGCTTCGACGGTTTAGGGTTACCGGGGTTTAAACATTTGAGATGTTATGTTGAAGCCCAAGTTGGTACTAAACTCCGCTGTACTCACGTGGCGTCACTAGACGAATATATTCATGAGAACCTGCATGGTAACTCTCACCCCTAAACCCTAAACGGCCCGAAACCTGAAACCCTACTATAGTAGCCCTGGCAGAAACCCTCAAATCAACCCTTCTGCTTTCCCTACAACCAGGGCGTGACTTGTCAGTGGCCCTCAGAGCAGCCCTGGTAGGGGTTGTGTAAGGGTTCCCTGGGTTGAGGGTTTAGGCTAAGAGGTTTTGATTTCGGTCGAAGGCTTCGGAGTCCCATAAGCCGAAAACCTCCACTACCTCGAACTTTTGACCTTGGAATATCTAGATTCTGTTCATTCTAAACCATCATAGAGCATTTTGAAGGCCCTCTAGGGGCACCCCGAAAACGTGGATCCAGACTCTCAAATCCAGACCGAACCTCGGAGCAAGAACAAAGCAGTTGTGAGCTCGCCATGCTCGAGCAGCCGCAACTGAACTCCAACCTGACATAGCAAAATCATAACAAAGGAAGCGACCAGGGCGACAGCGACTCCCACTCCTGCTCCCCTTGTTCCTGCTCCGCCGCGGCCTCCTCCTCCTTCTCCTCCTACAAAAACAACAACAGCAACAGCAGCAGCAGCAGCAGCAGCAGCCGCAGCCGCGGCAGCAGCAGCAGCAGCAGCAGCAGCAGCAACTGCAGCAACCGCAGCAACAGCAGCAACAGCAGCAACCGCAACAGCAACACAGCAGCACGACCACCACCGCCAACAACAACAACAACGCCGATGACTACTACCATGCGGCAGCTGCCACCACTACCCACTGCTACCACCACCACTACTACTACTACTACTACTACGACTACTACGACTACTACTACGACTACTACTACGACTACGACTACTACTACTACTACTACTACTACTACTACTCCTGCTGCTGCTGCTACTACTACTACTACTCCTACTACTACTCCTGCTGCTACTACTACTACATACTACTACTACTACTACTACTAGTACTACTACTACTACATCTACTGCTACCACTAGCACTACAACTACCTATACGGCGGCGACTACTACTTCTGTTGGTGCTGTTCCTGCTTCTGTTGCTGCTGTTATAACTGCTACAATCATCCGCGGTCACAGATTCACCGTCTTGATCACATAGTACACAGTTGGCATGAGCAAGCAGGATAGCAATGGCAGTCGCCCCAGTGGATATACCTTTCTGAAAGAAGGCCTACAGGAAGCAGCAGGGATGAGTGGAGGCCTTTGCGGAGGGTCCCTGTGTCCAGGATCGCTTGGTATTGTCCGGGGGAGAGACGGGCTCTGTCGCGCACACATGGCCCTCAGGGCATGTTGCGTCTTAGAGCTTCCAGAGTACAGGTGGTAGAGGTCAGAGTCCCGAAATCGCCATAGTCTAGAGAGTCTTGAGTGCTAAGTAGTTGCAGCTGCAAGTTGCAGCTGCAACGTCGGCTTAATCCTGACAAGAACTTGCAGGACCCCTCCCCCCTCATGACACATCCCTACCAGGGTCGACTGCCTGTGACCGTGGGGATTGTCCTCACCCCTGAACCCGAAACTGCAATCCAACAGGTTCATTTTGAGACACAATTACAGATTACAGCATGAATGAGGCGACGCGCACTCCGCAACCATGAACCACTGAATAGAGACGACCATGGCAGTTTTAATGACAGGCAATACTCCTTACTACTTCCGATTTATTAAGGGTTACGGGCTTGAAGGGTTTACGGTTGCTTCTGTATAACCCTGAAGCTCAAAATAGCCCAAAAGCCTTACGTAGTATGACCGTTGGGACCAAAAGCCTCAAAATGTGTGTCCTTAGACCCTATAAGGTAAGGAACCCTAAAAAGGTACAAGGAAATCAAATTCAGGAGCCCTACAAAATGTAGGTTTCTTACGGTCCTTGTAAGAGTAAGGAACATACGACTAGGATGCCCAGTAACCCACGAATGAAAAGGGCTCCCTTTTTGATATTGGGCAACTGTTATAAGGAACCTGGGAATAAAAGTACTACTGGGCATCCTAGCTATAGAAGCCTTAAAGGAACCCTTATAGATCCCCATTTTGGTAACTTAGACTAGGTTCCTTAATCCCCTTTGGGCCCAAAGACCATACTATGTAAGGCTTTTGGGCTATTTTGAGCCTTAGGGTATTGCCCTAGACCTAAGAGTAACCTAGGAATAAACAGGGTGCCCTTTTTGGTTTCAAAGGGATTATAATGGAACCTGAAAAGGGATCCTCTACTTGGAGGGTCGGGGGACTTAGTAACTGGTTATTTTAAGGACTTATAAGTACCATAACCCCAATTAGGGTCCCTTTTAGGGTACTCATAAGTCTACCTACTACCTACTTACTAAGTCCCGGGACCCTCCAAGTATTGCCACTGTGCAGCGGTTTAGGGTCTAGAGCCTGGGGTTTGGGGGTTTTCGGGTTTAGGGTTTAGGGGTTGGGGATCGGGTTTCGGGTTTAGGGACATCTTGGCCTTAACAGACCCTGAAAACTCCCCAGACTGGAAACCCTGAAACCTGTCACCCTGACATCCCAAACCCTTGAAAACCCTGACCGCGTACGCTCTGTAAACCCTCATATCGCTCTAAATCTCCTGCCTGAGGTCATCCCAGAATTGCGCCGTTTCCTCTTCCGCCTCCTTCACCAAGGACTCGCGTTTGCGCTTGCCGCTCATTGCAGGGCACGCTTGGCAGGGGTTTTAGAGTTTAGGGAGCCCTGCGTATGAATGTCGTCTACTGGAGTGCTGCTAAATGGACGCGCCATATATGAACCTCTACTACCTGTAGTCTCCATTGTAGTTCCTTTTTGGGGTTACCTTATAGGATCCTAATTATAAGATTGGTTAAACAAGGAACTACAATGGAGACTATAGGTACATCTCCATGGAAGTTAGCAGTGTCTGGAGCGATCCAGATCTTCCCAGGTGTTTTGGATTTAGGAAGGATCAGGGTCCTACAGTACGCAGTGTGTGGTGGTCTTGCTGCCCTGCGTCTTGACGTCTAGGTGTGCATTGCAAACAGCTCGTCGGATGCATAGCTCTCCGAATGCCGCAAAAGCATGTTCATTCAAGAACCGCCTGCCTACTGCCACTGCCACCGCTGCGATACAAGAGTGTAGCCGTGTGTGTGGGCCAATAGGCCGCGAGGACTCTCACACCCTACATACACGCCGCTATAGCACCTAGAGGGTCCAGGCATACTACCATCGTGCTACGCATTTTTACGATGGCTTCTGAGTCCTAAGTTCAGCCGTGGTAGTATGCACGGACTCTCTGAAAATATCGCAACAAAGCCCAGAACGACGGATGCTCTACCAAATCGCAGAACGTTGATCCAAAGATTCGAACCGCTTTTATAGGTGTTTGATATGGTGTGGGTTCAGGGTCCAGAGTTCGGGGTTTAGGGTTTGGGTTCAAGGTTTAGGGCTATACGGGGTTGAAAAAGTGCCGTGGAGCAGACATTTATAAGGGGTATAGTAAGGACCCGATAAAGGCTTACAAGTGGGTCCAATAAGAGGGTGTTTGTTGCGCGAGGTTCAGGTTTACCTGTGACCTACAGTCTCAGCTGTACTTCCTTGTACAGGACCTTGTTATTATGATAACGAAAAAGCAGAGCCACATTTTTGGAAGGAGGCAAATCCAACCGTGGAATCACCGAAGCCTGCCCACACATGGGCCTTATAGATCCCGACGTCCTCATCCCTTGCGCACCCCAACTCGAAATTCTACAACTCAGGAAACCCAAAACAACCACTACAGCATTGATCAGCAGCGAGCCATTCAACCAAAACGCATGTCGAACGGCGCTCCGAAATTCCCCTGCCCCAAACCCCTCAAGAGGTTCTTTGCGCAGCAGAGGCTCATGCTTCTCACGCCTCCTCTTTCCTTAGCTGCTGCCGGACCGAAAAAACTGCGTTTATGTCGCCCTGGTGTCGGAGTTTTCCGTTCGCGACTCTTCGGCCTGCAAACCTTCACGGATGAACCTACACAGATTGACATACATCCACATGACTGAGTCTCCACCTGCGTCCACCCTCATGCTCACCTGAACCCTTTGGTTGAGGCGTAAACTTATTCGAAACATGTTCAACTTGCATAAGTCTGGTCTTGCTATATGTATAGTTGTCATAATTATGGCCCCTTTTTGGGTACCCTAAATCAGGTGCCGTATTATGGGGACCCAAAAAGGGATCCCAATTTTGACGACCACCCATATCCTAAAAGAGAGCAGGGCAGACTTTGTTGCTATAGGCAGCCGATCAACAACCGGCGGCCTCCACTCTCTTAGCATAGGAAGTAGAAGGTCGATCCCTCAATGGGGTTTCCTATAAAGTACCCTTAGTTGTCTAGCTACTTTCTAGATCCTCCCGGGGGTCTGGGAGAAGATCGTCCTTGCATTTCCTGCATAATCCTGGGGAAAGCAAGGTTGTTGACAGTAACTCTTCGCGAAAATCACAGGAAAGTCGGTCGTTTGGCTCCAATGTAAGTCCGAGTGCCCCGAGTTCGCGCGAAGCTACCCGAACCCACTGAACGGACAATCCTGTCAGTCGCAAGCACCTGAACCTAAAATTCTTACAAGTCGGTCAGCGGTAAACAAGAAGTGGCCTGGTCACCAGCAAAAGCTACCGTGAGAGTAAGAGCCCTGCAGGAGAAGGATCCAACATATGCAGCTCGGTAAGACGATCACAAACCTTAAAGCTTAGAGTTTACCTGTAGACACTAAATCCTGAACCCTAGCTACGAGCCTTAAATTAAAAGACCCCCATGCCCAAAAACCGTAAAATCCTTAAGTCCTAAACCGCAGAGAATATTTCCTTTATTTGAATCTCCAAACCCTGCTTCTAGGGCCTGAATCTCTGAACACCGAAGTCCTAAACCCTAAACTGGACCCTAGAACCCTGCTGAAACCCTGCTGAAACCCTGAAACACTAAACCCCAACATGAACCCCAAAGCCCCGTGCCTCCATAACAGGAACAATAAGATTTTGGGGGTATAGTATCGTATACTTGTAATTACGGAAACCTGACGAATAGTGTGTGCAATTTCGTCAAACTTATTCGTCCCTAAAACCCTATATCCAAAAACCCAAACCATACCCTGAACCCCAAATCTTGAGCCCAAAACCTTAGACCCCAAACTTGCTCAATTACAACACCACCAACCCCAACTGTGTTCAATTACAGAAACCCCCAACAACCCAACCTTAATCGATTTCAACTTGGAAAACTTGTATAAACCCTACACCTTAAACCCAAAGCTGCCGACGCCCAAAAACATTACAAAGCCCGCACGAGGACGAGGATCGCTTCGGTCTTCGCCTTCTTTGCTGCTGCACCGCCGTAGAACTTTGCCTGGGCCGGGTTTGTCTATACTGAACTTTGAACCCTGGCCAAAATTACAACTTTAGCTGTTTGTTAGGGATTGTAATAACCAAAAATATAAATTATTTCTAAGTACCCCTAAGTTATGGTCGTGCTGCTACTACACCGCTTCTATCACTATCCCCGTGGTCGCTGCCAGTATTCCCGCTAAGGGCCGAAGCGTGCAAGGGACCCACCTTTCTGGTTAGTATGTAGTAATTTAGTACAGTATCGGATTGTTAAGAATTGAGACCCTTCGCTAAGCCGTCAAACTTAAGCGCCTAAAGCCCCACATCCTAAAACTCCATACCTGCAAACGAGTACCTTTAAACCCCCAAAGCCTGAACCGTAACTCTCTTATCCAACACCGGGCCCCAAAGAAACCCAAATTTTCCTAGCATAGACCAGGTATGTATGGCCAAAAACTTAAAGTGCTCCCATTGACTAAGTAAATAAAATTCCCTAAGGGTTCTATGTATTGTTATGGGGGATACCTTCCCAAATCATAATATGACTTCCTACTATATATAGAAACCCTACATTCTACTATATTCCTACTGTACCCTACATTCGACGAAAGAAACCCTACGTTCTACCATAGAAACCCTACATTCTACCACAGAAACCCTACATTCTAGATGGAGCCCCTAGACATTCTACCATAGAAACCCGAGATTGTGCCAAAGAGACTCCTACATTCTACTATATAGGTACTTTGGACCCTTCGGGATCGGCCCGAGGCCGGGTTTGCCCTGCCGAAATGCGTTCGGGTTTAGGGTTTAGGGTTTAGGTTTTAGGGTTCAGGGTTCGGGATTTGGGTTTTAGGGTTCAGGGTTTATGGCTTAGGTTTAGGGTTCAGGGTTTAGGTTTTAGGGTTCAGGGTTTAGGGTTTATGGCTTAGGTTTTAAGGTTCAGGGTTTAGGGTTTAGGGTTCAGGGTTTAGGGCCTTCTCGTCGCTGGTCTGGAAGCGGCCATGGCCGAACTTCGAGGACGTGTCGATGAACCTGAGTAGGCTCGGCGTCCCCAATCCCCACCTCACCCGCCTCCAACACAAAGCAGATACAACAACCATGTGTGTATCATGGTGTGTGCATATATATATATATATATTAGTGTTATTGCCTCCGAAACCCTGAACCTGCAGCCTATAACACCTCCAGAACCCTAAAACTCTAGAGTCCCACAACCCGAAACACGCCTGAACCCTGGATGCGTAAGGAACAACGATAGTAGCCCTTGCAGCACCCCTTGAAGGCAACCTTTATATCGAACCCTCATAACAACCCTTTCCGGAGCCCGAATATGATACAGAAGCCTGACTGTTCCACTTGCTAAGGCCCCCGTATTTACTCAGGGCCTGAATACCCTAACCCCCCAAAAATGGATAACCTTCTACATTATGGTAGGATTACATAAACACGAAAAGGTTGGTTACCTACTCAGCTAGTAAGTTTACCCTGAACCCTAACCTGAAACCCTAAACTCTAAACCCCAAAACCCTAAACCCTCCTAAACCCTAAACCTGAACCCTAAACCCTAAACCTTAAACCCCTAAACCCCTTATTCAAAAGCCGCCGGGCAGCTTCAGAGTCACCTTCTCCAAGGCCTTCCGAGTGACCTGGGGCAGGAGCGACTTGCCTGCGCTGCGGGGCGAAGGAGGCGCTTGAGGCTTTACTTACCTTTGGTTAGTAGGGAATGGAAGAATGGTAGCTTTGGTTAGTAGGGAATGGAGGAATGGGGTACACTTGTAACTACTATTACTACCATTCTTCCATTCCCTACTAACCATGGGTAAGTAAGGAGGGATCTTGAGGCATGTTGGATATAAAAGAAGACCTGGGGAATGAGGTTCATGGTTTAGGGTCTATAAGGCTAGTGAGGCTTCTTGGGTTTAATACAAGGCTTCGGGTTTGAGGTTCATGGTTTAGGGCCTATAAGGCTACTGGTTTGGGGCATGTTGGGCTTTAAAGAAAGCTTGGGGTATGAGGTTCATGGTTCAAGGCCTATATAAGGCTTGTGGCTTAGGGCTTAGGGTTCGGGTTTATGCCCCCAGTGTTTATTGGCTTATGGCTAAGGGTTATGGCGTTTAGGAGTTTCAAGAGTTCAGGGTAAGCAATACTTACAGTGTGGGGGGGTGTGGGGGGAGGTTCGGAGGGGCTGTGGGGGTTCAGGGGGTTGCTTCAAACTTTTGGAGATGGAAATGCAGACTGTTCAGGGTTTAGGGTTGACGTGTATGCCCAAACCCTACACCATAGTAGGTTAAGACCCCTTAAGTTTGAATTACAGTGTATGGCCCCAAAAAACCGTAGGGTTTT